AACTTCATGATGTTTCATGACAGAATACAGAGGCTGTGATAAATGGTTTTTGCTTCTAGCTGCTAGAAGTCAACCATCACCATATTGTTGTCTATGTATGCTGTGACAAGCAGTTTTATTACTGGTTTTACTACTTGCCACAATGCTGAAGGACAGTTCCAGTAACTGAATGAACTTGAAACCAGAGGGACTGGAATCCCTGGCCAGTGGGAAGGGCAGGCCTCAGAGATGAAGGACCTGTCTGGGGATTAAAAGAACCCTCAGGTTTTCAGTTAGGGTGGGTCTGTCAGCATCTCTCTCCCACTTCCTTACTCTCTCTGGGCAGAAATGACCTCAAAAAATGCCCACAGGAAAGTGTTATGAAAACAGATGTATTTCTAATAAATATTTTTTCTTTCATGAGACGGGATATGCTTTGATGAACTCTGAATGTTAATGGAAGATTGTAGTTTATATTGTCCACCCTTTTCTGCAAATCTCGGACCAAAATGGTCAAAATGGTTAAATGTACAAAGGAATAGTTTTTAACACAATATATTAGTTTCCCCCTTTGAATTATCTTCTATCTATGAGTTCATAAATGTTCATGTTGAATCTCTTATTCTATATAAGATTACATTCTCTGAGGAGGATTGATAACATGTTGATTGCAGTTTAAGTAATGATCCTCTATGTGACACATACACAGAACTGAAAACTATTAGTAGAGTTGTAAAATCTAGCATAGAATATTTCTCGCACAACTCTGATACTTTGTGCATGTATTATGATATTCATTATATGAACTTATTTCTTTTCTGTACCCAGGACCTTTATTTTGGTCAGAGTACACAATAAGTATTGCTACTTGCTGAGCAACTATTGAGTATTTTGTTTTATATTCATTTTTCAGTGGGTGGCCTGTTTGCATCTGGTAGATCAGTCAAAATTCAAAATCTTTTGGGTGTTCCCTTTAAAATGGGAGACTAGTGATGGAATTGGGTATTTTGTTAATTCAATCCCTTTCATCTAGAAAGAATGGACAGTCATGAAGTGATATTTTGCCGAACTCGGTAGGAGTCAGACAAGTAGCGTTTTCTTTTCTTACATTTTCAAGCAACACTGGCACTAATTCTGCTGCTGTTAGTTTCTGTCCTGCTTCTGCTAGCATCTCCATCAAACAGTACCAAGTTCCCTCCAACTACTGTTTACCTAGACAGGGGGCTCAGCTTCTGATCAAATTCATATATAACCTGTATTTGCAGCTGAATTACTTTCAGAAGAAGTGTAGTCTTTCTATTTTGTATTCCAGGTGAACTTTAGACACAATTTCATTTATGTGATATTGGTGCATTTACACAGACCACTGTTTTAACCACAAAAAGACATTCCAAAGCCTGTTAGGATGAACAAATAATTAATTTCCTTGGGGTTTAGTTCTGTAATGTTCATAAAAACAGACTAAGAATAATTCACAAGCATTAACACATATTCATATGCCTCTCTGAAGACTGATGTTATCCTAATTTTACAAATGAGGCACTGGAGCACATAAAAGATAGGATCAAAAGTTTTCATCAGTCTTAGGAGCCAGTGTGAAACACCAGCATTTTTTATTTTTGAGGATAGTCAGCATTATTTTCTTTTCTTTGTGCTTAAAAGAAAACTATCACTGGCTTCAGCTGCAGCTGTAAATACTGGAGACTTTGACAAATTTAACTTCTCCATATTTGTCAGGTCCAAAAAAATTAGGAACATGGCATATCTGGTAAGTAGTTTCAAGAAGTGGCATCCCATAGCACAGGCTGAGACATAATCCTGTTCAGCTGGACAGTATTTGCACCCTTAAACATATAACTATGTTCTCTTCTGTCACTCCTTAGTCTCAGATAATCCCTTCCAGCTTCAGCAGCAAATGTGACTAGATTTAGCTATGACTTACTTACAGCCTAAATTCACTAGTCATTCAGTAAGTCTGTTACAGGGCCTACACGTGAAGGAGGCAGGAAAAGGATGTATGGATGCTCTAGTTAGCAGTGATACTCTTTTAGCGAAGAGACTTCTTACCTAATCTTCCACCTGAAAAATCCAAAACAGATAGAAAGAACAGGTATTCAGTCCTGTGAAATGTCATCCTCTATACACTTCATGAACAAGGTTATATTTGTTTTCGTCCAGTTGAGTTAATGAGACCAGCAATGACTTATTATCTCTTGTGTCAACACATACACCTGGGACAGTGCCAGCACCTTTCAAAGATATTTGGTGCCAGCCAAGATTTGGAAACCTTAGGGATCTTTTTTTGACCCTGAGGAGAGCACAGAAGCTTACCTCACCCAGCTCTCACTCATTTTGACTTCTCATACCCTCTGCACACTGGCTTCTTACTTTTCCGGTCTGATGCATCCTGGTGCTTGGCCTCTTTTTCCAGTTCCATTTTCTTTACCTAGCAAGAGTCACAATACATACCAAAGACATTCCTAGGCCCAGATTGCTTCCCTTTACCTTAAATAGGCTATTACATTACTTCTGTATTTTTTCATCCACTGTAGTTACTGACTGATTTTTTGCTGTGTTCTGGATATAGAGGAGAAGCTGCATACCTCTGACAGAAGCTGACACCAAGAAACGTGAATGCTAAAAGTGCTTATCTGCCTCAAAGCTATCACTGTGACTTCTTTTCTGTACAGACAGCAGCATGAAAAACATCCTTTCACTTTCATCAGCCCTAGCAAAGTCCTGTACTTACATTTCTACTCACACCATTGTATTCAATTGAATACTTGAAGAATTCAAATAAACTGAACTCCTCTACCTCCAAATGAATGTAACTATTGTCTGTCATGCTAGGTAAATCTAGGCAACACTTAAATGCTTACATGCTGTCTTTTTCCAGGGTACATAACATTAGTCAGTTAATTTGCTTGTTTCCTACCACTTCTACCTACCTTATTTATATATTAGCTCAAATGAATTATTGCACAAGTATTTGATAGCTGCTATTCTTTCTGTTACATGGACTATCATCTTGTCATACTTGCTAAAAGCCTAATAATCTGCAAAGACAACACTTTGAAGACTGAAAAATAAAGGGAACTAAACCATTTGCTGTAGAATCTTCAATAGGCCTTATTTTCCCCTTCAGTCTGATTACCAAGCAGTCGCGAGTTACCCAGCAAGTTGTAAGGGCACTCTTGGCTACTAGTGTTTTTTTTTTCCTTTCTTTCCATTAATGCAGGGGAAAAAAAAACCTGATGGCCTTATCAGAAACATTTAGGAAACAGTCTAGGTCATACAAGCTAACCCATTCTAACCATTCACTGATCAGCTGCTTCTCTTCTCTTAGACACCAGTGTGCCTTCGTATCATCAGTGGCCACAATCTTTCAAGCCTTTAGTGACTTTCAACTCATTTCTATTTTACTTGCTATTGCCCCACTAATAGGACTCTGAGAGTGCAATAAGGCATAATAAATACCTTGTGGGTTTTATTTCTTTGTAAAATACGAAGGAAATTAGGAAAACATGAATAAAAATTCCACTCTATGTCAGGTCTTCAGGATAAAAAAGAAAATATACTGGGACTTTTCAGAACCCTGGCTTGCTGATCTAATATATGACACTGATTTTCTGTGTCATGCCAGCTACTAATCTCAACTTCAACATCTAGTTTGAAAGCAGTTGCATATTTTTATATACTACAATGTATGAGTTCTCATGAATTTGACATCTACTCCTCTTTGCTCATACAATTCTCGCCTTTTGTTTAGGTTCTGATTCAACACCATTCATTCAGCAAAAAAATTTGAGCACCTGCAAGTATTACCAAGAAAACACAAAAAGCATGAGTTGCCAAGCAATTCATACATGTGAAGGCTTTGATGTGTTTATGTATGTAACAGCAGCAAATAAATGGGTCCAACGAATTTTGTATAAACAATGACATGGTTCATGACTAGCGACCTAAGCTTCTTGTAGTTTCTTATTCCTTATTCACAAAGAAAGTAGTGGATCAAATTCAGGTTTGCATAGATACAAGTCCCTTCAAGCTCCTGGCAGATATATCCACTTATGTAACGGCTGAAATAAGTCTAAATATATATATATTTAAAGATTAAATATGAGCTTCATAAAGAAGAAGATACTGGAAGTAGAAGGAAAGTTTTCATATTAAATACTAGAATACATAAATATATAAAACCTCTCATACACAGTAAAATGACTTTATCAGGACATTTAAATCAAAACAGTCAAATATTAATGCAAAACAAATATTAGAGTACCAAAACTCAAGGCAAGAACACTAGATTTTTTGGAAAGTCACAGAATCCAGACCTTAAGACTAAACCCAGTCTTGGAACTGTCTGCCTTGACTCATCCTTTTCTCTGTAAAAAGGACAAACCCAACACTTAATAATTTGAAAAGACTCAAAATTCAGAACCTTAGTTCCACGTCTAGTTACAGTTTAGGCTGTCCATGAAGTAAATTGCCAGAAGTCTCATAAATGCATTTAATACAAAGGGATTTTAAAAACAGTAGAGGCAGAACAAAAGAGCCTTTCACTAAAACTTCCTATAACAAATTCTCCCGTTACAGAAAGATACCGTCAATCACTTCATTACAATCAGAAAAAGCTTTTTTTTTAAATTGAATCATCAAACAAACTGATTATCCTGCTGGTGCAAGATTGCCTCAGGGCACAGAAGAGAATTTGCAGCAGCCCTGTTTCACCTTTGGCTCTTTCAACTTGTACATTTAAGAAAAGACTGAAATCCAGCTTGGCTTTCCATTTTCTTAAAATGTATTTTATGGACATTTCAAAATGATCTGGACAATGCTTTGGGAAAATCAGGCAAATCAGGCACCAAATTAAAAACTACAAGAAGTATGTAGTGAATCTGTGGTTACACCTTGCAAACAGAAACAGAAAAGGAGGGTAAGTTTACTATAGCCCTGCACGGAGTGCTGAAAATGCTATTTTGCCTAAACTGCCATATATTTAATTTGGTCTTATCTTACAGGTGTTCTGCACTTTATCCTATCATAAATGCTGTAGTTCTGCTGATGTTATTGTAGCTCCACAAACAATAAGTTAAGGTAAGTTAAGGTAAATAAAGAAAAATGCAGACAGAATATTTAAAATGTATGAACATATAATTCAGGAGGATTTATCAGTTTAAAATATTGTTACAATTCCCAAAAAGTTTCAATTGAGAAGACTATAAGCACCATAGCACATGGTTAGGACCTGACACAGGAGGCTAAGGTGACCCTTCAATTTTCCTGGGAAATAGATTGCTAGATCTGCTGTTGCATGACACTAACGCTGCTCTTGCAAACTATGGTGTAAGTAATTCTGCGTAATAAATTCATTGAGTGAAGAGTCACACAGCAGTCGTCCTGCATCAGTAAATGATCATCTCTGTCATGGCTTGTGTGGCTGACACAAACTGATATTAGGTATTGCATATCTTTGTAATGACGAGGCTCTCTAGATGCTTTTTTGAACAAGTTTCCTGAGAGGACTCACACGTCATGCTCCCTTACCCTTCACTAGCAGTCTTTTCAAAATCACCCTGCTTTGCAAGGGGATTTTTCTATGCTCTGAAAGATTTAATATTGTCCGTAAGCCACTATCACATCACTATTCCCTTCTGGTATGGGCTGCTACTGTGTTAGTCCTCTGTATTCACAGAACTAAGCTACAGTAGTGCTTTTGTCCTGCCATTCTGGGATGCACATCACTGAGCCAATCTTGTCCTTTCACTGATAGTATCTGGACTGTCCTGAGGTCTGGGACACTGCAGTTTTGTTTCCATTTCTCTGACTATATGCTTTGTGATGCAGTTCCCTACCAGCATGCCCTTTCCATTCTGGTACACAGGAATTTGCCCCCAGAATCCTTCTTCAGTTGAAGGCAAATTTCTACAAAATCTGTTGCATCACAAACTTACTACTCTGAAAAGCAAGGAAGCTGAAAGAAGAGCTGACTCCAGAAGAAACTACTGTAGGGACAGCCTATGAAACCTGGTTCTATATGTGGCCTTACAGATTGTTTAGAAATGGGCCAGTTGTGTATGTAAATCTCTTCAATGTATAAACTAACAAAAAAGAAAAAAAGTGTATTTGTAAGTGTAGTCTCCTAAAAGGGGTGTGATTACATGATATGCACAGAAATGACCCATCCTATAACAGGTATTTCTAATGTTACGTACACAGTGTTACTACTGGCAACCAAAACTTCCCTTTGTGATAGTCTGCAAGCTGCAAGCTCTATCACTTACAGAAAGGACATATCAGAACAAAGGATACGCCCTTTTATCTAAAAGCTCTTAATTAGGACTGAGTAAAGGCTCTTCTAGGAGTCATCTGCTACTTCCTACGTGGTCCTGCATTGTAATGATGGTTACAGGCCAGTGGATAGCCTGTAATTCACAGATGAGGTGTATTGCCATTACTCATTTTGCTAAACATTTAATTTCTATATCCAAAACAATCTCCACCACTAACAAAATCATTATAACAATTAAAATGACAACTGTAAAAGGGAAAGCCCCATTTGAAAATGCTTGTAGCTGTGGAAAGCACCATTAGGAAGGATCCCCACCATGGCTGCATTGGGAGTAATCTTATTTTACTGAATGTAATTTCTGGAACACTAGCTAGCTGACAAATCTAGTAAAGGCAGGGTGTTCTAGCATGTACCTCAGTAATTTGGCAGGTATATAAAGGCACTAGTTTAAAGTTACCAAACAACTGCCTTTACGTAATGGAGTTTGATGGTCATTTCTGTGTGTATCACGTAATTGTAATCATGACCTTTCATTGTAGTTATGTTAAAATATAAGTAATCATCTGATGGCTGTAGGTGCAGGTCTTCATGGATGTTTTGCACAGGCTGATTTGAGATTTAAGCTAACAATATATGAACAGTCAAACCATCCAGAAAATTTTCTCTTGCTCTAATCTGTCTTGACTGACAAAGAGCAAGGTTAAAGCAGAACACATTTTGAGTTATCACACCCTGAGTGAGTAGGTGGATTTGAGATTATGTGACCCTAGTGGCAACATGTCTTTCTTTTAACAAAGTTGTACATTTCTAACATTACCCAGTTGGATCTTCGCAAATAAAACACACCTAATTTTTCATTAAATTGCTTGGATATTGTACACACAGAGAAAGGTTTCATTACCAGTATCCACAAATGACAAACCTCTGATTTTGACCAAGTATTTGCTTTCCATCAGCTTCCTTCCATAAACATTTTAAAATATCCCCTATATAGCTCTGCACAAAGTGACATTTTTTCCTAACCTCAATGCTGAAAAATTAAGATGATGTCACCAGCCTTGCAAAGTAGGTTTTACCATAATAAGCGTCTCTATAATTAACTGATTCACCTTTTCTTTTTCATAATGCTCAACATTTCCCATACACAAAGTCCCATCTACCTGTGTTACAGACATAGACATTGTTCATTTATGTTCTAGCGATCTGTTTGTAATGGCTCCTATTAATAACGGAGGTACATTTATCCTCACTGAGAGAAACAGCTTAACATGTTTGGAGATGGAGATGTGGTTAAAGTGGGATCTATTTCTCCATGCTACCTTAATTTGTCAGTATTTTTCTCTTGTTTTTTAAGTTCAGCTAAAGCAATCAATCTGATAATATTACATCTTTTCCCTTCCACTTGCACATAAAAACAGAAAAACCCCCACAGTTAAAGATAAGCAACCTCTTCTCTCCTCTGGTGAGTTTCTTATTTCTGCTTATCAGTCTTTACTTTATGTATGTTACCCACTGCTTCCACCTCTTCTCTATAACAAAAGATGAACTTTATGACTGAACTTAAATCAACAGTCCCTCTTTCCATAATCAGAAAAATTGGCTTTAGCACATCAGTTGGAAACACACACTTACAGAGCTGACTTCTGGCTTTCAAAGCCAAGTGTTTTGCTCTTCAGTAAGAATAGAATTAATTCTCTCAAATCTCCAAATACACATGGTAAACCTACAATTCTCTGAGCTCTTAACCACTTCAGTACCAACAGTGCTTATTCAGGTCCTCATATGAAACTTCTTTTTCTTTTCTCTTCGCTGATTACTGTGCTGCCAATGAACACATTCCTCCAAGTTCCTGCACATACTCACATATTTATTTGAAAACACAGTACTGATTTTTGTAATACTACTGTCCTTAAACCTGAACTATTTTTTATCTTGCTACCTCTCAGATTCGCTTATCTTGAATCCCTCATTTTAATTGCCTTTAATTTGCTAACAATTGGGAATATTTTTCTGTATAGCTCCCTTTCCTTTTTTTATTCCACAAATGTAAAACTGAAGCAGCAAATGAAAACGTGAAAAAAACCCAAGCCCAAGAAAAGTAAACAGTTCTCTGTTTTGTTTTCTTCTCCCTAATTTTTTTTCTGTTGCATGTATTCATGGTTCTTCATTATGCTACTGGATAAGCCAATATCTGGCAGTTAATTGAAGCAATATCCCAATATCCAGCAGCCTCCAAGGACTTCTTGTTCCTTTTTCGCTCCATAATTCCACCAGATTGGAGAGTCTTTCACAGTGGCCGAATTGTAATTTTACTATGAAGCCCTAGGAAGGCCCTTTGTATAAACTCTAAATCATCTTTTTCTCTGGAGGTTTTCTTTCACTTGGTCATCCTCCAGGCTAGTACAGCTTTTCTTATTCCTACTTATGGTTTCTCCATGGTTTCTCTCTTGTGCCTTTTATTTTAGCAACAGGGAGTAGAAAACTTATTTTCTCCTCTTGGAATGTCTGTGTTTAGTGGAAGACAGAAACCTGGTCACAGCCTGGTCAGCATTGGAACAAACCTAGTCTTTCCTAGGAACCATTTTCTAATCACTACCCCATTGCTACTTAGCTGTTATCTTGGAAGTCAGAGTTTGCAGTTTACTCCAGCAGCAGCAGCAACGAGGAGGATAAACGGGAAACAGCTTTCTAAAACTCACAGTCTCCAGAAATTATTAAAGACTCACATTTTTATTACATAAATGGAATTATCAAGATTTTCTTTTTATATGTAATGAGATGTGCTTTAATTCGGACATCTGCAAAAAAAAAAAAAAAGTTTTGGCTTTCAAAGCTAACTCTATCCCCATTCAATTAGGATATTTTATTATCCATTTTTCCCTCTCAAACCTTCAAATACATATGCAGCATCTGTGACAGTGCCAGGACTTTATTGGCTTGCTAAGGAACAAGCAGTCAGCCCAGTTCAGAGCTGACGACCTCCGCTAATCTCTGGACAGCATCTGGCAATCTTCTGATAAATCTTCCTCTTTTATCTTAAGGCACACAATTCACAGCAATGAGGAGCACATGATACAGTTTTTGTTGATACATCTTCAGTTTGAAAAGTTCTGAGAGCAGTCATGGATGAAACTGTTCTCTGTGTCACATTGGAAATAAATAAATTATAATTGATAATGAAGATTTCCAGTCCTATTGGAATGCTGAGCAGCATTTAGAAAAAAAAAAAAATAGTATGGTGTTTGCAATCAGGTTTAAAAACCAAAACTAAGTGAGGGCCTATTTTTGTTTAGTGAAGAGTTCCAGGTCTGGATTACAGCAGTTCCACATGTTGATGTTAGAGTTTTGGGAAGATCTGCCCATGCAACATGATCCAGTCAGGACTATAAGTTATTTACTCTTTTTAATGAGATACAGATAAAATGCAACCTCAGATAAACCAACTTGATGAAAAAGACATAAATAATTTAAACCCTTTAGCATGATGATTCTTCTGCTTTATTTGGAAACATGCCATGAACTTGTGCTTCTGTGATCACACATCTTTCTGGTTTCCAGAGCTATTCATTCCAAAGTCATGGGAGAAATCGAACACACAAAGATGTGAAGGCTGTTTCTGCTGTGCCTTACCAGCAGCACCTGGGTGGGCTTATCTTGGTTTTGTTTGTACAGGAGCTTTGTCATGAAAATTCTGGGTGTGCTCAAAAAGGGGTAACCAGTATTTCTTGCCTTCATTTACAGATTTTATGGGTGGTTTTTTTTCAAGATCTTGGCTGCTGTATGACCTACTTACAGTGTATATAGCTTCTCCTAATGTATGGCAGTGTTTTGGATATGGGCATGGTGGTCTAGTTGACAGGGTTTTTTCTCTGTAATGCCTGATGTGACACTGGTGGTTCATCAGCCAAACTGTGGCCTAGACAACCTCCTCTAATTGATAATATATAAGAAATGATACACACAGGTAGTAAAAGCTGCCCAGCTTCTGGCAGCAGAAGCAAAACAAAACCACCTTCTGTACAATTTGCAGTCCACCCTGGGGAGCGCAGCTGGAGGGACTCTGGGTGGGTCATGTGGCCAAAAGGGCTGTACTCTGCTGGGCCAGATGTCTCTGGATACCCTCTCACTCCCAGAGCTTCCATCCAAACCTCTAGACTAAACCAGCAGGTGCCTCAAAACTGTCAAAAATACCATCAATAAAGCAGCTGGCGACAGAGGACTCTGCTTAAAGACAAGGAAAATGGAAAGTCATCCTCTCAAACAAGGTGGCTGCCAGGAAGAGCACTGAGGCCCAGCTGAAGAAAATTACTGTACTCACTTTGGAAATTAAAATCACAATGTCCAACAATACTGTTAGATGCTACTGCAATTAATTCTTCTTGGCAACGCTACTGGGACAGGCGAATGAACCTCAAGGGGGACATTTGTGGTGGAGGATGAAGTACAAGAGATGCATGCCCAGATCCAGAAAAGTTTACAAAACAGACATATTCTCTCTACAACAGAACTAGCCAAATCCTGCAGCCCACAAGGAAAGGCAAACTCTTAAAACTTGTCTTCCTCATCCTTACAAAAAATGCTCAGATGTTTCATAGATGGCAAGTTTAATTCAGGAAAAGATGTGCAACTTACTCCAGTTGCAGATACCATGCACTGATATTTACATATCTCAAACTGATTATGAGGTGGAAAAAAAATACAACGCAGTTGAAAGAATTCTTTTGGGAAAGTCACATCAAGACCAAATAATTTCCCATCATTTAGTAAAACACATCACTGGACTGTAATCACTCCTTTGAAGAGCAGGAAATCTGCCAGGTGGCAAGGACCTGGACTTTTTAATGCAGTTTCCATCTCATCTCTGTTTTCAGATTAGTGAAGAGCTGCATCTCTTCCAAAACCTACTGGTTTCTAGTCTTTAACCCTCACCTTCTACTCACTGGAAACATGAGAATTACTTCAGTTCTCAGTAAGACATCATGAAACAATGTCAAGTAATAGCTCCAGCAGCCAACAGAGTGGAAGAGATCAGCACAGGATGATTCACACCATCTGCATGATCACCCACTAACCCGTTCCCATTCTTCAACTGTCTGTACCCTTCCTACCTCCCCTCCCTTTCTCCCTTATTTCTTCCCACTCATTCTTCCCTCCCACGGTTTCCATCACCCCACCCTCCCTTTGATTTAATCCCTCATTCTCTATGCTCCTTTGCTCAGCTTCACACACTACATGAATCCAGGCCTCCCATGCATGAACCTGGACTGAAAAGCCCGTAATAAAGAACCAGTCACTAGACTTAATTGTCTGTGCTTTTTGTTGCAGAAGTTTACAATTTGTCCTAGCAGTTACATTCTTCCCCTGATAGTTGAATGTTTGCTTTGCATGGGGAAAGGAAAGACTGCCTGCTTATGAAGAATGGGGAAGGAGGATTCTGCTGAACCCTCCCACTCCCCTAGCTCACAGAGACACAAGGCTGTTGATGAGGGTATTCAGTATGGCAAATGGTAAATCACAGAGCCAGCATCATAGGCAGACACATCCTCTGTTAAGGAGCACAGATGCTGAGGGTGAATCTGTTAGCAGTGGGCTCACCAGTCAAGCCCTTAGCTCCCAACAGTGCAGTCAAGTCCAAGGGCAGCAGAAATGCCGGCAGAAAGGTGAGTACTGCACAGGTGGCAGGGCAGTCACCTCAGTTACAGCATCTGCTCCCACAATAGATGCTTTTGGTTTAATCAGTGCCACAGTAAGTGGCTTTCACTGATGCTAGCTTGAAATGCAGGTCTCTGATGCCCTTTCTCACTAGCCAGCACCTCCAGCTGCAGTTGTCTGTGTCACAGAGACTGCAGGAGGCAGAAGGATGGAGAGGAAGGTGGGCATGTTCATCCCTCCTTCAGATACGCCATCTGTCTCCTTATAGCCATTTCCAATTGCTTCCAGTTGCTGCTTGTAGCCCTGTCCTTCTTCCCAGCTTCCTCTAGCTGTCCCGCTGCTGGCAGTGGCAAGTCTCAGCCACTGTCTGGAGAAACAGCAGCTGGTGGGAACTGGTTTCTCTCCAGTATCATCTTAGGAGCTGCCTCTAGGGCAGGTTCCCTTCCCATACTGGCTTTATTATGGCTCCTTTATTGCTCATGTACAGCCAAAAGGCCAGTAGCATCCTGCCCACAAAGTCAGGAGCTGTCTGGGTGTTCCCTCAGGACTCAGAAATTGTTGATTCCTTTCTTCACAGGGGCATAGATTCAACTGGAAAGTGGAGTAACTCACAGATTAGTGGTTAGGCCACTCTCAGAAGGAGATGAGAGATGTGAAATAGGAGTTGTTAATGCTCCAGGCAAAGGAGAGAACCGCAGCTCTGGGGCAGTTCTGTGAAAAAGGAGTGATGGTGCCACACCGACCGCACCATGATTTAAATGGTATCAGTAGCATCCAAGAGTTTTGTGCTGGTGCTTGAGAAAGAGAGGCTTTGATTCCCCCTGGAGCAGACTGTCAAAGACACCAGCAGAGAAACTCTGGTTTCTGAACTCCGGTGAGATACACGTGTGTAGTATATGCATGAGAGAAAACAACTTGCTGAGCCCTGTCAAAACTGAAGTGCTTCTGCACATGTCCAGAGGCCGAATCTTCAGGACCTTCAAAAAGTCAATGATTTTATATGCCTCCCAGCTGAGTGTGTATCTGAGCACTGGTCTGAAAAGTAGCAGGTTTGGCTGCTGGTCTTCACAATCGACTATGGGTACCAAAGTCCTTCACACACTCTGGTCCTTCAGCCTTAGGGACAGATGTGATCAATATATGATGTTTTAAGACTGGAAAAATCCAGGCCAAAGTACAATAGGACACTTGAGCCCATCTCAATTAGCATTAGAAGAGTATGTTCCTGCTACAGAAATCAGGTAAAATTTCGGACATATTTTGGCTTTGCTGCTGGGTCCTATCTCACAACTTTGCTTCTGTGAAGAACTGCAGAATTGCTTAAGACTTTTGGACACACTTTGGAGTGTATGGCATTTAGTAAGATACATCGGCTGCAGACTTTGGGTTTGCTTTTGTAAGTGTTATTAAAAAAGATAAGAAATAATAATAGCAATTACATGGCTAGGGTGTACGTAGCATATGCTTATTGACACCTGCAATAAAATATTTGGCACAATGATTTAAATAGCTACTTACTTCATGTATTAAAATGTAGCTTTTTCCTCACACAAAGACGAGCTTAATGCAGTGCACTTGGAAATGGGTGGCTTTCCTTCACTTTTAGCTACACTTAGGAAGGAGCTTAGGAAGGACTGTGCCTCCTGAACCACTGAGACTGGCTCCAGCAGAATGCTCTTTCAGGCATGACGTTCTAGATTCTGTTTTGCTCCCCTTTCACAGGGATAATCTTATCAGGAAGAGAAAAACATAGTCTCAATTCTGATGTCAGTTACTTTCTCTAAACAAAAGACTCTAGGAAATACAGCTGAAAACTGTGCTGAACTTTCCCTCTGCTCAGGAAAAATAAGAAGCATGGATGGATGCATGCATGGATGGATGGATGGACGGACTGATGGGTAGACAGATGCAATAAACATTTCACCCTATACTTGAAAGCTAATGGAAAACACATTTTGTGGCTTTGACAAATTAACAGAGCAGAGCAACCTAGTTTTATATATCACAGTGTTATTATTTCCTGTTTTTCTAGTGAGTTTTGCCTTGGAAAGCAGACTTGTGCACAGATGAGTAATATGTTTAGCTTTAAATTTGGCCAGAAAAGAAAATCCTGGAAGATCTTTTTACTTGGATGGAAATAATGTACGTTACTGTGATGTTACTCTATGGGATTCAGTTCTGTTCCTGCTTTTATAGCTGATTGCAATGTGCTCATGTGATTGGGCCAAATCTCAAAAGATTTACTGAAGTCAGTGGGAGTCTTGACTGAGTCAAATTTAAATGATATCTGAGGAAGGACGTAAGGACTTGGTTTGTCACAAGATTTTTCACTGGCACCCTAAAACCTTTATGCCCTGAAAGAAATGAGAAGACTCCCGAACACTCTGTAACTGAGACGGTTTCTCGAGCATGGGCAGGCACTAAGGAAAACAGCTGTAGGTCTGTCTTCCAGCAGCCCCACCAAGTCACAGTGCAAAGGGCATTGTGAGGACAGAGTAGAGGACGGTATGTCTAAAATACAGTTGTAGCACACAGCAATGATGTCAGGCAAGCTCTTAGGGAGAGCAGGGTAGCACACTGAAGACAGTAAATGTCAGATCCATCTGTTTTCTCATGCTGGCCCCTCTACACGAAGCAGGACAGAGGGATGATCTGTAGAGCAAAATCAGGAGTTCAGCGTTTCAGAGGGAAGCATCAGATTTCTTCTATCTTGAGCTGAGATTTCTGTTAACAAAAAGCAGAAAGTCATGACTTTCCAAGGCCCTTTGGCAGTGTAAAGGTCCCATTCATCAGTATAAAGCCAAGCTCATAGTTTCATTGGATTATACAATGGTCTCAGTGGCTATTTGTTTACTTTTTAAGTAGTTACATTTTTCAGTAATTTCAGGCCTGTGTAGCCAGAAAATGTGAACTATATGGATTTAAAACCAGCATACCAACAAGGACATTTACTATCTTTAACCCCTCTATTTTTAAACCACTCTCATTAATCAGTAGGTTTTGTCTCTGGGGTTTTGAAGGCTTGCGATTCGCATCATTTCTCAGCTCCAGAGGGTGAGTACTGTTCAGTGTACTCTCCTTCAGCTTTCCATTAGGCATACAGATTAGTATATACTACTACGACAGCTTTGTAATCAGAACTTCCTTTCACAAGAAGCTGGCTGGAGCCACAGATGTTTCTTCTATTACATGCCATAAAATACTCACCTGAGTGTACAAATGCTAGTCTTTATTAGACATTAATCTGGTTTGGGTGTTAGCCAGCTGGGCATTTTTGAGGGTCTCTGTTTAATCAGCAGTCCTCTGTGTTCTCTTCAGCCTTCCACAAGTATATATACCTACACACACAGAGCACGGTTAAAAAACATAATTCATAAATCCCAGTATGAATATTTTGAAGTATCAGCATGAAGCCCTTGTATGCTTCTGACCTGTACATCTTCCTGAAGAACAATGTTGGCTCACTGGCATGCAACACAATGTACACACACATTTTTCACACTAAGAAGAGTCAAACACTGGAACAGGTTTTCCAGAGATGCTGTGCAGTCTCTTTCCATCTTTGGACCATTTTCAAGACCTGACTGGAAAAAGCCCTGAGTAATCTGGTCTGATCTCATGGGTGATGCTGCTTTGAGCAGGAGGCTGGGCTGCAGACTTCCTGACACCCCTTCCAGGTTCTGCTATCATGTAATCCTAGGATTCTAGGACTATGTAGTGGACAGATGGGCGGATAGATAGATAGATAGATAGATAGATAGATAGACAGATAGATTATAAAGGTCTTTCCAGTTACCGTAACTGCACACTGTATATGACTAAGGATGCTTTTAGAGTAGAAATGCACTTGTTCATACACAGAAGGATAAAAGTGGAGGGTATAAACCAGAGATAAATCAGAACAAACAAAAGGATTATGAATGCAACAGAGAGGAAGCAACATCTGGAGATATCTTTCCTCAGTTAAATAAAATTCATTATTGTCCTGAGAGTCTCTGTTGCCAGCTTTAGACAGCAATAGCACACAACTCCCACTGATTCGCTTACAGAAGACGTTTCATACATTTTTGCTGTATTCCCCACTGTTTTAGGGTTCATCTTCCTTCCTTCTTTTGTTCCTTTCCACAGCCCTCCCCTACAAGGACAGGGTTTTTCTCCTCCTTTGGTTTACATCTTCTCAGAGTTCACACCCTTTTCATCCTCTCTCTCAAGAGCTCTGGCAGTGACCTTTCCAGAAAAAA